ATCTATCTTGAATACACAGATTGAGTGACAAAAGAAAGTTAATCGAGTGCGTTAATTGGGTGCATGATCGTATATCCTGCTATGAATACACGACGGTCATGTGAATCCAAATATAGGGAATAAACACGCAATTGCTAGTTTTACGGATTAGACGATCAAACTGGTACGTGCATATGACGATCTAAGACCGCAAAATCATGTCTTCTGTTATTAAAACACAGATACCGTACATTTCAAAATTCTTCTATAAAAGTTTTGCGTTATGAATACAACACTGCTAATCATCAGTTATACCCTTTTTGGTTATATAGCTCCTCATCTGTTTTGGTTCTTATATACCATTGGCTTTCAAATATTCAGCTTTGAGCGTTCATGATGAAGTTGAATCTAGAAAAGCTCCTCGGACGAATACAATGTATAAAGTATTGTTTTAATTTATTACTGAGGTCTATGTTATATGAGCATGTACGCGTGTTTCGCATTAACTGTAGAATGCTAGTATGCGTCTAATTGGAAAATAAAAGGTTAACAAAAAAAACAAAAAAAAAAGAAACTGAAACTGTCATTGTAAGAAAAATAAAATATTCCCGCTCCATTGTAGCATGTAGTATAAAAACCGATAAAGTAACAACTGAGACATTATTGTTGTATACATGTATAAATCTATTTTTAAAAAAGTATAAGAAGTTATTTACCATAGGGTTGCATTTAAATAGCAATGTCTATGTTATGGTTGATGTAGATATTGTAGAATTTTATACGCCAGACGCGCGTTTTGTCTTAGCTTCGCAAGACTCAGCATGACGCTCGAATCAAAATTGTTAGAGACAAAGCAAGGGAGAAACTGAAGGGACACGAAGCCGTACCAGATCTGAACTTAATATTGCATTCTTCTGTCGAAGTATGTTTTGTCCTTTGATAGCACAGGATCCACATCATATCCCAAGTATAACTTTCATAAATTGCGTCATACAGGGTAGTTTGCAATATTGCATTATATACTCAACACTATACTTTAGATCTACTGGTATTCAAAAAACTGCTGTTACATTCAAGCCCAGGTCAACCTAATGTGCTTAGAAAAACGATACCTTACTTAATATTTGGTCGACATTATGTCCACCATTTCTCAAAAATATCTCATTTGTTAAATTTCAGTTTAAAAAAATCATCATTCCCCTCAAATCTCAAATATGTCAGTTGCAATCAATCCTAACACCATTTGACCACCTCTGCATTCGTACACTGTGGGTGAACAGACTATGAAGAAAAAATACAGAAATAGTTAACCATTTTGCCAATTGCCCATTATTGTAAGTGGGAAATAATTATTGTTTGAAAATTTTGCAATTGATTTTTGGGCTTTTATTTTCAACAAAATAAAGCAAAAAGAAATGACTCTTTAAAGGAGCATTAGCTGTAAAAATCCTCATATTTGATTTATGATATACTTAAACGCATATCCAAATCATAAAAAGTCTAAAATAAACAATTTACGATGCATGGACTCGATAATATGAATCAACATTTCGTGTGTATTTAAGTCTAGACGCTATCTAATTAACCACCGAGGTGACCTCCGAAAACTGCCAACGGCTGTATAACCCGATATAAACATAAATATACATATAAATAGATAGCGAACACGTTGCAATTGGATTTTTCTATGTCTGTTTGAAGAAATGTTATAGGTTGAAACATATGTTAATCATCGTTTTTACCTGTATAAGAATGAGTTTTTGTGGATCGAATCTGTCAACTAAATGATTTACCCCTGTGTTACTTTCAAGGTTTGACATTTTTTTCCTTTTAATAGCTGAACACGCATAGTTTATGCGTAACCTCTCTAGCTAAGGAGTTAAATTGAAGGTCACATGAATACGGATTCAATGAGGTCGAATTAGCGATGTTTCTTAGCTTAGCTTTTGACAAATAAAACCAAACTGGCTGCTAATAGCGAATTTTTATTCCACCAATTCACTTTCATTAATGATTGATCAAAAAAAGATCGTGTTTTATATTTTTTTTTATATCTCGTAGCTAATGCCCCTTTAATAATAGAATGTGTCCTAACTAATAAAAGTTTTTATGCAAGTGTTCAACTTTGGTACACAGATTGGAATTCAGAAATATGTATTATTCAAGGAAGTAATACCACAGGGAGCATTTGGCTTCGTGTACGTTTTTCGAGAGTTTTGAATTCTCTGTTATAAAATATTAAATTATTCGAAACACTAAGATTTTTATACCCAAGGCAAATATATTGTAATTCTCACTTTTGGAGGAAATTTATAGAAATTTATATGTGACGTCACATTGTGCGTCGATCTCTTCGGCTAACATATAATACGTTGTTCGGCTGTGCCTTTTTTATGTGCTGATTTAGGTTATTTTACGTATTCGTTTTTATTCTGTAGTTAGTCACCACTTCGGTGTTAACATGTATATCTATTATATAGTCATTTTTATAATTTACTGTTTGTAAAAGTATGAATTATTCTAAATACTAAGGATTTTCTTATCCCAGGCATATAACCTTAGCCGTATTTGGCACAACTTTTTGGAAATTTTGGTCCTCAATGCTCTTCAACTATGTACTTGTTTTGGCTTTCGAACTTTTTTGATCTGAGCATCACTGATGGGTCTTTTGTAGACAAAACGCGCGTCTGGCGTATTAAATTATAAGCGTGGTACCTTTTGATAGCTATTATTTGTGTGTGTCTCTGTTCTGTATGTTCTCCCATTTATTTGTATTGTAGTCCTGTCATGTAATCTTGTCATTTTAATGTTATATTTAACATTGCCATAAAAGCGGGAGGTTTGGCTAGCCACAAAACCAGGTTCAACCAACTATTTCTTCTTAAAATGACCTGTACCAAGTCAGGAAAATGGCCATTGTTATATTATAGTTCGTTTCTGTGTGTGTTGCTTTTTAGTGTTGTGTTTCTGTTGTGTTGATGTTCTCCTCTTATATTTGATGTGTTTCCCTCAGTTTTAGTTTGTAACCCGGATTTGTTTTTTTCTCAATCGATTTATGAATTTCGAATAGCGGTATACTACTGTTGCCTTTATTCGAAACTCGGTTTTAAATGCTTTTCAACTGCGATTTTGATTTTGCCCTTAACTCTTTTGATTCGAGCGCGATTGATGAGTCTTGTGCAGACAAAACGCGCCTCTGACGTGACTAATTATAACCTGATATGTTTGGTGAGTTTTTATAATAAGCTGCTAATATTCAAACATAAACATGTTTATTTTGTGTTTTTTCTGTGCATGTTCTGATTTTGTGTCATGAATGGATACCCCATGTCCCTTTTTTCTATTATCAGCGTCAAATATAAGTCGGTATTTGCTACAGAAGATTTTCTGCTATGAACTTCACTTGGAACTCTTGATTTGATAAGATTCATTTTGAGCAGCAATCCATATCAGGGAAATCACGATAAGAAACGCAAACCCTAGAATATCCTATCAACTGTGAGATATATTCTCCATAAGCAGGCGCTGCCGGAATTTTGCTACATAGTATTTTATGTGTGTAAATCACATTACATAAACTGTTTAATAAATGAATTAGGTATTGACAATTCACTTGGAAACTCCACATATACCCCACGACACTTACCAATTAGAAAATCCTGGATAATCATAGGTCTGTTCTATGTTTCATTGGAATTTCAACCAAAGATGAAGAACTGGATCTTCTTTCACTGTATCGGACACCTAAACTACATAAGTGTCCTTACAAACAACGTTATATTGCTAGGTCTTCAAAGTGCTCCACGAAACCTCTTTCTAAATTATTAACTTCAATTTTATCAGTAATCAAAGCCGGACTTCAAAGTTGTTGTGAAACTACCCATTCCAAACTAAAAGACAAATTGAAAGAGTTGGTCGTACTTTGTTTCATAAAAAAGAAAGACCAACGTAGATACACGTATCTTGTCTTAGTGAGGGATAAATCGTACTTTGTAAAAAAATCACTCTGATTCTAACAAAATTTTCTCTGACATTATCAAGATGCTTGATTTCTTTTCAACAAACAATCGGCATTCCCATGGGAACCAACTGTGCTCCTCTTCTAGCCATAAATATGAGGCGGACTTCATACAGGAACTTCTTAGGAAGAAAGAAAAAAAATTAGCAGTATCCTTTAACTTCACTTTCCACCATATAGATGATGTTCTTTCGCTAGATAATTAAAAATTTGGTGACTATACTGAACGCATATATCCCATCGAACTTGAAATAAGTATACATCAGATACAGTTAAGTCTGCCTCATATCTTGACTTATATCTAGAACTTGACAATGAGGGTCGGTTGAAAACAAAACCTTAAGACAAAAGAGATGATTTCAGCTTCCCAATTGTGAACTTTCCATTTCAATGTAGCGAAATTCCAGCAGCGCCTGCATAATTTCCAGTTGATACGATATTCCAGGACTTGTATTTCCTATCATAATTTTCTTGATAGAGGGTTGCTGCTCACAAGGAAGCTATTGAACCAAGAGTTCCAAGTGGTGAAGTTGAAATCATCCCTTCGTAAATTTTACGGACGTCATCACGAGATGGTTGACCGCTATGGCATATCTGTTTCACAGATGACAACGAATATGTTCCAATTGTTGTAATTACAATCCCCTCTCCTTTTCCTCGAATGTGACCTACCGAGTTAGACTTATCACAAGGTTTTCACTAACATGAGCAACACGACGGGTGTCACATTTGGAGCAGGATCTGCTCACTCTTCCGGAGCCCCTGAGATCACCCCGTTTTGTTGTGGGGTTTGTGTTGCTCAGTCTTTGATTTTCTTTGTTGTGTTTTGTCTGTTGGTGTTTTCTTTATTAGCCATGGCGTTGTCAGTTTATTTTCGACTTATGAGTTTGAATTTTAATTTGGTATCTTTGGCCTCTCTTTTACATACCTATAATATTTCCGATCATTTTTACACTTTGAAAAAAGTATTTTGACGTCACAAAGAATAAAAGATACTTGCATATACATATATAACGTACGACTTTATTTTTTATTAGAATATTATCATAAAATCAATTTCCATTTTGATATAATATTTGAATAAAATTTCAAATTCTTTGACCCTTATCAACTCCAAATCCATCAAATCTTCAAGGTGTACCTGAAATAAAATATTGACAATTCAGTTATGCACGATAACAATTTTTGGATTTCTCTTATTTTTGTGTGCGAATGTAATAGTTAATATTTAAGCAATATTTATCTTGGATTTAAGAGTCGTCTTGTAAAGAACTTATATAAAGAAATTATAATGAAATACACCTCAAAATAACCTCAACAATATAACCGACTTTTATTTGGCTTCATCTTATGTCTGTCATCTTAAGATTCATTTTGCTGATAATCCCATCGAATACTATATATGTTTCCTCCCAAAATGTACATCCAGCAAGACCAACGAATGTTATAATATTGATGGCGTTTGGTTTTGTCAGTTTTTGTGGACTTCCCTTTTGATTTTGCCCTGCAGTTTGGAATTTTTTTTTATACCTTTTATACCATGAACATAAGGTCTGCAAGGAAATCGGTATCATAAATTCGAGTAATAATTCAGATGATACCTGGTCAATAACATTTGTTTCTGCACTGGTATGCTTTAAATTGTACATATTCATTGTGTGATTTTAGTAATCAAATCATCATACTAAAGATTAAGCTGTAACTCCTTCATAAGTAATAAAAATAACACTTTATAAATGTCGTGTGTCCAAAGCCTCTTTCTGGATTTACCTTCATTAGGAACACACAAACCTTAACATTTGATGGTCATCGGTGGCCGAGTGGTCAAAGTAGTCGAACTACTGTATCACTAGCCAGTCAACACTGAGGTTGTGAGTTCGAATCCCGCACAGGGCAGGTGCACTCGACTCTAATCTTAATTGACTAGAGTTGTCAGTTGTCTTACCGAAGGTAGGTGGTTCTCTCCTGGCACTCAGGCTTCCTCCACCAATAAAAACTGACCGCAATAGTGTTGAAAGTGGCGTTAAAAACCAATCAATCAATCAATCTAAACATTTGAAAGCCAGAGATGTTAAATCGAAGAAACATTGGGAACTATATGAACGAAAGAGACATAAACAGTTAGCTGAGGTCAACTTTTCTTGTGGGTATTGGCCGCTTAGTTTTTGAATAATTTCTCCAAGAGGAATTTTAGAACAGTTGTTATACATTATGTCAGTACAGAAACTATGATTACTAAATTGGCAATATTCTCGGGAAATAAGACCACCAGCAGTGCCAACGACTCAGTGATTGTAAATGAAAAATAACCCTTATTATTTTTCGCTTGAGGTTGTTATTTGAAGATCTTGTTAGCTGAATTAAGGGTATTGTTCCATATTAGCTTTCAATGTAGATATTTTTTATTTAAATCCTTTCGGAGTTGATGATATTGTAATTGTTTTCATTCAAATTAGCTACGACTCATTTCACGCAAAATCTTGTGAACAAAATAACTCGGAAGTCATCAATATTTCAGTATAAGTTACGATCAGTTTTTGTCGTAATATGTTTTGTGAAAAGAACCCCTATGACTATTGAGATATTAAAAACAAATCAGTCGACTACCGTAATATTTAAACTTTTAGGTATTTCTCTTCTAAAAGTGTTCCTTATAAAGTTTATTCAGGAAACTATCACAATAATCACTTTTGTCGAAAAAAAATTTCAATATGTAATGACATTTTGTTTTCCAGTTTAAGACTTGAGAAAGTTTTGAAAACATTTACCTACCATTATTGTTCGTTCTTCCTTCCATGGAATGACTAAGGGAATGGTCTGCATATCCTATACATATGAAAAATGAAAAAAAGTTTATGTCTTATAATTGATACAGAAAAAGCATAACTTTCGAAATTGTCCTAACCGTTACTACTAAATTGTTAAGATATCGTCCACCAACACACTGCCTAATTTTTGTCTAAGAAATAAAGTTTGAAAATCTGCAATTCATAGTTCAGAAAATTTTAAACTATCTTTTTTCCAACTACTAGTACTTTCTTCTCCAATCGAAATCTCCTAAAAAATTATGTTTTTATCTTTGCCAAAAAGTTTATGTGATGGCTGCTTGTTGTTATTGATAGGATTGTTAGTTTTTCCGTCGAAGGTCGGTGGTTCTCACCGGCTTCTCCCACCAATAAAAAATGGCCACCAAGATAGAGTCAAGTGCTAAAAGTGGCGTTAAAAATCAATCAATCAGTTAATAAATATGTACATTGTAATAGATATGACCAGTAACTATAAATTTGTTTCACAAATTTATTAGTTAAAAAAAATTAGGTTGAACCAGATGGACTTTGAATATATACGATGCTGAATAATATACCTAAAGTTTTATCGGTAATCCCAAAAATACCAATATGCTATTAAGCGCAATACATTGATGCAGAAGACAAATTTGAACCATAATTGCATATTTTACATATTTCTAACATTTTGCATTGAATTTCATCAAAATGAATATATGATAGAATATATAAAGCTTAACGAACAGCAAATGATTAGATTTGGTTACTCTATTTTTTATTAATTTAAAAAAAAAGACTAAATATAAAAACAAGAAAAAATCATTCATAATGGCCGTTTTGGGGTATCTTCCGGCACTGATAATTAGTCAATAATTATTCAATAAGCGTAAACATTGAAATAACAACCTTAAAGAACATTAGTCGATAATGAAAATTTAAGACATTTTGAAAATGACTCTTCAGTAAAACATTAATCAGGGAATAATTCATTTTGTCATAGCTGATAATACATCTTATCATTACTCTACCTGAATCATTTTGTGCTATTGTTCTATTGTATGAATGCGTATATGCATTCAAATTTCCCAAGTTACCAAAGGTGTCGGTTACTGAAATGTGCAACATAGTTTAGTTAAATGTAAAACATTGTTTTGTTAAGTGTAAAACATAGTTTTGTTAAATGGAAAACAGAGTTATGTTAAATGTAAAACACATTTTTGTTAAATGAAAATTTTGTTGATTGATATCTGTAAAACAATCGTATTTAATGAAATGTATATGAAAATATCCTCAAACTTCAAATGTAGTTGGTGCATATTCATATATGATACAAATAATGATTTTATCCAATTTCTAAAGATATGATAATATAAATATAGAAATAACAAGACTTAAGTAAACACTACGATTATAATAACGGCGTTAATTTTACCGCACAAGATCCTCATTTCGACAATCAATATCTCTCCAGTCATGATCAACATATTTGAAAATTCAAATCCTAATACAAATTGTTTAATAGGGCCTTGTAAATAAGGTACATGAAATGTGTCTTTAAGTTAAAAAGCACAAGCAATCCTTTTATATTGGATTAGCTGCTCGCAGTACGGTATTCCAAATATCCGGTTTTAACTTACACAAGTGCAAGATGTAGTATGAACAAATCAAATTGTTTATGGAATGTCGACGTTTAAAGAATCATGAACATCAGTTGTTTAAGAAATGACCTACTAACATTCAACTTTTCGGCAAGATAGTAATTGATTTTAGTATTTGTAATTTTTCCATAGTTCCAATGTCTCCCGCGTTGCACATATGTCATCCATCCATGGGGTACCGGTCCCGATAATGTACGCATGCCCCTCAGTACTTTTTTCATATCAAATATAAACTCTGAACAGTACGTCGAACGTTAATTTGAACTTTAACCCAATGGATAGCGACACTCATCCGCGAGCCTCATTAAAGAAACGACTTGGAAATCGGATTTTAAAATAGAACTATTTTTCCAAAATTTTCACGCGTCTATGTGGTTTTACCTCATCTAGTAATGTGATAACCACATCAAATACTGGAACGAACACATCATGTAGTGTAAAATCGTCAAATTTTGAAACATTATTACGTAATCTTAAAGCCATTTATAGAATTGACAAATCATCATTACGAAATAAGAAAACCACATCATACAATGAAACAATAACAATACGTTAACCTACATTGCCTAATGACAAAACCACATTAAATAGTGTTGAAATCATATTACTATAAGTAATGACAAAACCATATCAAGTCAAAACGAAACAATATCATGTAATATTGAAATATCATTAAGTAATGACTATACCATATTTGAGTTATATCAAAACATCTAAGTAATGTCAAAACCATATCTGACATGTAAAGACAAAATATCATCAAGTAACAAAGAACGTGTCTAAGTACACGGATGCCACACTCGCACTATCATTTTCTATGTTCAGTGAACCGTGCAATTGCGGTCAAAACTCATAGACAGATCATATCATAGGTAACATGTGTACTTAGTTTCAAGTTGATTGGACTTTAACTTCATCAAAATCTACCTTTACCAAAAACTTTAACCTGAAGAGGGACAGACGGACGAACGAACGAACGGACGGACGCACAGACCGAAAACATAATCCCTCTAGGTGGGGCATAAAAGTTAAACCACATAACGTTATGTCAGAGTACCACAAAAGACAGCTGCGGCGTTAGATAGAAAGTCAACCAAACAACGGACTAAAAATATCGTTTTCTGAATGATCTTTAATTATTAGAAATAAACTCCTTACACATAGTGTAAGCCTACCTGTCTGTGGACGGAAAAGAGATCTTGCTTCCCATAATTCCCTTTGAGACTCTGTTAAAGCTGTTTCTAGATATTGCACTTTCCCTATTAAATAAATCAACAGAAACTTAGAAAAATTAGATTTTGCCTTGAAATGTATATCAGGTAAATTAAAAGTATGTTTACTAGGCGATTATTTTTTGTACAAGAATTTTTATAAGAAAATATAAACCAAACAAATAACAAGGTAATTAAAATTGAAGTAAATACACAAGAAGAACGACAACACTATACATGGGCAAAAGATAAATGACAAAAATTAGTTCATAAAACATTTGAAAGTAAATATTCCGTGTCTGTATCAAAAAAGTATAACACAAATACCGAACTCTAAGGCACATTCAAAAAGGGAAAGTTCATAAAAACCGACAAAATCAAACGCTATCAATCAACGGAACAGCTGCCATATTCCTGACATGGTACAGCCATTTTCCAAAAAAAAAAAATGGTAGGTTAAACCTGGTTTTATAGCTAGCTAAACCTCCCACTTGTTTGACAGTTATTTATAGTTCTTTATATTGACAAAATTGTTATTGGTTTTAGTTTGTTCGTTTTTTTTTGTCCAGAGGCGTCAGGCGTTGGTGTGTTTGTAGTTTGTTGTACTATCAAATATTTTTTATGAATTCCTGTTATCCTTTGATCTACTATTAAAGATTGAGCAATATGAATCTTTATCTGGGTGAATTACGGAAAGGCAAGCAGGTTTTTCTCACTAGTTACACCTACCTTGGTGCACCGTACAAATCGAAATGTATTGAAAACATTAATCGTTATCAGTGGTCCCGAAAGTCATGAACAAGAAATTCAGAAAACGAGATTGTAATATGACAAACGGAAGGTTTTCTGCACTATCTACGACACATTATATTATATAGGAAACTAAAAGAAAATAAACAATCAAAACCATCAATCAGAAAACAACAGACGACATCATAGTTAAAGCAAAAACAAATCTTTAGAAGAGCGGGGAAATTGTCCACAGAACAGAAAGCTTAAGATTAAGTATCATGAAGCTATTAAACCAAAAAACCGGGATTAAACTCTCGTACCCCGAAAACATAAGCATTTCCATTCATGGCGCCAGCCGAGTAGCTTATGCCAAGTTAACTCCGGTTAAAAGTCACATTCAATGATGCAATAAAATATCAATCTATGAATGACACTCAGGACTGCGGCTTCGAAAGATGGAAAATAAACAATATCACTTTAAAAATTTGGTGAAACCGAAGATCTATTCAGGAATTACCTTCATAAGGGATTCCGAATCCAAAACAATTGAAAGCCAAGAATGTAAATTTACTTAATACGGGAGATATAAGACCGAAAAGAGACCTAAAATGAATAGCCAATATACAATGTAACAGTAGGAGAGGTGATATGATTTCCAATGAGACAACTATTAACCAAAGTCAAAATCACCGTACGACCTTCTACAATGAGCAAAACCCCTTACCGTAAGTCGGCAATCAAAGTTCCCGATATGATAAAATTTGTTTGTGGGTGGGTTAAACATGTTTTTGAGCACCAAACCTTCACTCTTATCTGGGGCAGTTGTGTAACAACACAACATAAGAACAAACTGTAAGAATTGTTGATAATTCGGTAAACTCATCAAACTGGCACGAAGCACGTGAACACACAGATGACTACAATAAAGACAAAAGACAAACATAGCTATCTAAGAAAAGCTAATTCAAAGCCAAAGACAACTAAAACATAAATCGAGCTTTTCTATAGGTAAATATTTTCTTAGGGAATAGAAATCTTAGATTCTTAAGATAATTCATAAATTTATCAACGAAAATTTTAAGAAAGCTATGCTATAAGTAATGTCTTTAAGAAGCATTAATTACGGAGATGATGATACATTCGGGGACTAGTCTACCAGCAGTTGTACCGACCCAGTGATATACAACGAAAAGAACACTTCATAAATTTGGTACGTCCGAAGTGTATTTTGTTTTGTTTCATTCGTGATCATATGTTTCACAAAATGTTTATAACGGTCAACAAATGATGATATCCTCCGTAAGCGTCCGAAGAGAGGACATCGATTTTACCATTAGGAACTCTCGGTTAAATATCTTCCTTGTAAGCAGCAGCCATCAAAAAAGCAAATCAAGAAGCCTTGGAATAGTATCAATTTTGATATAAATCTTTTATTTAGTACAGGGACATCATCAGTTACATAGCGAATCGTGAAATTAAGGGATAACGATCGCTCTTTTTTATTCTTCTGGACATTCCATGTATGTATAGTGATTCTACTAACAAACATGGAGCAAGGGGAGAAGCACAGTTGGTTCCAATTTGATTTCCGAGTGTCTTGGCCTTTGTTAGTCTAGTATGTTTTTTAATTTTAGTTCATTTATATGTTTTGGAGTTTATGACGTCCATTTTCACTGAACTAGCACACAGTTTTAGGCAGGGGCCAGCTGAGGACCACCTCTGGGTGCGGGATTTTCTCGCTGCATTGAAGACCCATTGGTGGCCTTCGGCTGTTGTCTGCTCTTTGGTCGGGTTGTTGTCTCTTTGACATATCCCCATTTCCATTCTCAATTTTATGTAGTGTAAAGGGGAATGTCGATTGTTAATCTTTTGACCACTGTGTTATCAGTTATGTTGGGTTAGTTTAAAACTATGTTCCTCAGCAATATTTATTATAAATCAAAATTAGAATAAACTGTGATCCTTAACTTCGGGAGAAAAAATGAATGATTGTACATTGAAATCCACATTAACTCAAGTTTTCCTATTCAGAAATATTAAATTAGTATTCTTTTTTTTATTTCATACGTAATATGACCGCACCTGGATACTTTCGCATTCATCGGATTAAATCTATAACAACGATAATATTTGATTTTATGTCGACTAATTGTGGTGTCGGTATATGGTCTTGAACCGAAATAGAGTACAGAAAATTAATAATGTACTTACCAAAAAGTTCTTTAAGTTTGTTGGCCAAAGCGTTCACTTCATCTACAATGGATTATGGGTAGGAATGACTATACAGATTTGGTATAAAAAAGACACATATGATAAATAATTGTTAACTGCTGATAAAAAAAATCGTTGCGATCAAACTTTTAGCTAATCTTTAAATCACATTCTCAACTACAAAAGTTGTGATCTTCTAATCATCGCAAAACATGAGCTCAATCTGATTAGAATACAGATCCTGTGCGTCTTAGCTTTGCTTACAGGGATCTGAAAACGTCCTAATCTTTTTTCTGTTCTAAAGACATTTCGGGATCATCTGGTTTTGTCTAATTCATACACACCTTCAAAACTTGAAGGCTGAAATTTCATTGGCTGATGTTATAATTAACAGAGCTTAGACACGGGATCTGTATTTTAATCAGACTGCACATGAGCTGTGCCAATTATTTTAAACAAGAAACCATAAAGCAGTAGAAACAATCGATATATTTTCTTATTTTCAATTTCTTCATTATACCAGAGACATATATACACATATATATGTCTCTGATTATACCAAACGTATGTCAACAGCCCAATAGTCATAACGTATGTGCTAACATGAAATTTCACCAACAGCGTAAAATTCAATAAATCTATAAATTTTGAAAATCATTTAAAACAAAAAGGTTTTTCTTCCCTAGCTATAGATGGCCATTGTCCGATTTGACACGTCTTTAAGGACTTTTAGTTTTCAATTATTCTTCTTAAATTCGTAACTTATTTAGCATTCCGATCGTTCTAGATCGAGTGCCACTGATAAGGAAGTAACGCGTTTCCAGCGTATCAAACACTCATCCAAAATACCAGGCTTATAATATGTTACGCCAGACGACTCGTCAATTGCAAAGCCAAATCAAATAATACGAAGTTACTGAGCATGAATCACCGAAATACCGAAAAATGTGACAATTACAGCTGAAGCAATCTTTACCTTGGGGGTAAAAAAGTCTTAGCGTTTTAAATATTTCATCATTTCATTAACAATAAAGTTACAGAAAATGAACACAATTTTTTATCAATGATATTTCATGTACTGAGCATAAAAGTGCTGACTACTTGGTAAATATACCCTCGGTGACGAAACGTCCACCAAGAGAGGCATCGACCCTGGGATTGTCAAAACTCATCAAAGAGGAATTAAATTACAATCATGGAAATTTTGACAAGTTTTTATGTCCCTAAATCCTGTAATGAAAGCCTTAAAATGAAGAAACATAAATGCATACAATGATTACCATTTTATTCCATACTGAATTGCATTGGATTCCTGAGTTTTGCTTACCACTCTTCTGCTTAAGTTGTGTCTTTAAACTAACTTTTTGTCCCATAAAAGTTTGCGATTCTCCCATTTGTTGACCATACTGTTGTAAAATTTCTCTGTATTTTTCCTCCATAACTTTATTTCTTTCTGAAACATCAGCAGTATGACAGAGAAAAATAGAAACTATAATAACATTTATTTATTTGTCATACATAAGTTAGGTTTGATCGTAAAACTGTAACTCTTCTAAGACCATATAATGTCGATATCTTGCTTAAAATTTCAATGGTCATTTTACAATGGCTATCAATTTATATTACGAAGGAACCCACTGACATCGACAGATCAAGCACAGTAGCAAGTAGAACCTAATCTTTTATGATGCACAACTTCTGATTAGATACAACCTATTCAGTAAAATTATAAAAAAATGGACAAAGCAGAATGCTTATGTCTGTAATGAAAAGTAGCTAATTTTGGCACACAGATGAATTTCGATTACCATCCAACCGAGAAGACGTGACCATTTCATATATCTGAAACGAGAAGGCACAATGAAGTCCTTGTTTTGCCTTTTGAATTCGACACTGCAGTATCCTACATAATTAGTGTTTTCTGTACATTAGTTAGTCAGATATTAGTATATATATTTATATTTAAAATTTTGTCGAAATTGCTTGAAAGTTTCAATCTACGTGGACTTGTTTCAAAACTGAAGAAATACTTAATGTTGTAAATAATTTTGTTTTTTATGAGCCAAGGACTTACTAAAATATACATGTTTTGCTACTTTTTTTAGCCCAGGCCTTACTTGTAAATATACATGTATTTGCTACAAGATATCTTATGCAAAGATTGGAATGTGAGTAAAATATCCATTTGGATTAATCCTTGGCTAGTATTTAATTTGGTTCAATGCTATTTAAGATCAAATATGTCAATTTCAACAAGTTTGTCAAATTGCAGTGACATGACAACACATACTCCTTAATTTTCTACTGTGTCCTTATTGAACCACACAATTATCAAAAGAACTAACATAATTTTTATAAGATTAAAGAATTTTAATATTTTTGTATTTTCGAGTCAGATATTACACGCGGCTTTTATCTTATTTTCACATTTTTTTGTTAAGAATGGGAAAATATCTGGTCAAATGATATATATTAGTAGAAAATGTTTCTCTGATAGTCGTTGGAGGAGATTTGACCATTAGTTAACACTTTTTTCTGGCTATCCATAAATACATTCCGTGTTGTGAGTCATCAGATTTAGTTGTGTTTTTTCACCCCGTAACCAAAGTACAACTTTATAACGACGAAAACGGCAATGTTGAAGTTAAAATTATGTTTCCATTAATGCAAAACTGAAACCAAGGAGACAACTTTTGAAACTTGAAGATAAAAAAATATAAGCAGCATGTGGATAAAAGTTTAAATTTGCTAATAATTTGTAATATAAATATGAATATAATATACCTCGGAATGATTCCTTATCCTTGAAATATGATTCATTTTGTTCTCTGAGACCTGACACTAGTGACTGCAAACGTTTAGCATCTTTAATTTGCTCCAGAAGTTCAGCATTTTCTTCTGCAATGAATTAAAACGATTATAACCACAAATTGAATCCTATATATCAACTGATGTTTAAGGGTATACCAGTAACTGAATTTAGATTGATAAATGTCTTGAAAGATGTTTATAATATTGAATTAATAAGAGATGAAAACATATTAACGTTTTGTTCAATTTATGCAACAACGTGTACAGAAACCCAACTTACGAGAAAATATAGAAAAACGCTTCGGATGCATATAATTTATAAAGTATTATGTTCATTTTAATTTGGAATTGAAAATGGGAAAGTTTAAATCCATGAAGATTTAAAATTTCTTTCAACTTCAAATTACAATATATTTCTTATTTATCGTTTTTCTATCATATCATATTATTGTTGCTTTATTTTGACAACACTAATATTTTGAATTGACTAATAGACTTGTCTTAAAATTTAAGTTTGGCAAAGCCCTTTTTCATCTTCTTCTACTGATGAAAATGAGGAAAAAAGTAAACATAATTTTCCTAAACGTTATATGTTCATGGTGTTGCATTTGAAATAAAAGGAAAAAAGAATTACCTCGAAGATAATTGCTACTTTCCTCTATCCTTCTAAACTGTACTTCTTTCTCTGGTAATTCATGATATTTTATAGTAAGTTCCCTTGCTTTAATATTAACCTTTGCTACCTCATCTACAGTAGATATTTCGTACATATAAATATAACAAATAACATACATAAAACATACCTAAAATTATCAGAATAGCCAAATAAAGGCAACAGTAGTATACCGTTGTTCAATAGTCATAATTCGATTAAGCAAAAACAAATCCTGGTAACAAACAAACTAAAACCGAGGGAAACACATCAACTATAAGAGGAAAAAACTGTCTTAGCAAATGTTCATACTGAACTTCAACGTTCAACAGGTCTAGTAACCATTTTAAAGAATTTTGTATGAACATTTTGCAGGTCATGTTCAATGTCAATCGAGGTCATCAACTATTATAACAATGAGGGATTAGGGGTTTATATGATTTTGTCTGTACTTTCGGGTTTAGTTTTTAATTTTTTTTTGTGTGTCAAACTGTTCTAATTTGATAAAAGTCAACTTTTCTAATAGGGAAATGATCATCTGGATAAAGTCCAAAAAAGGGATGATTTTTAGATGTCTTGTAAATACATTTTCGAAGTGAACTTTTCGTTTTGGTAATGTGATTACCGTTTAAATTGTATTGCGATTACCAAAAACGTTGAAAAAGTAGGAACAAAATGCGAAAAAAGGTCGAAAATACATAACAAAAAGTCTACAACCCACAGTAAAAAATAAAGATTTAGTAGCACAGTTCTCGCCAAATACCGAGGTATAACTTAGATTTGAGCGTCACTGATGAATCTTTTGTAGAAGAAACGCGTACAACATTTTAATCCTGGTATCTAGTATGTGTATATCAAGATAACCAGATGTGTAAGTAGTCCCTGTTTCACTAGTTTAAGGATGTTCTTAGGTCTGGTTTAGGAATGTTTGTCAGATGTTCGGACTCTGGTTTTTTCCTAAGATACAGGGTAAAATATTTTGCCCCATAACACCCATTTTTCTTTTCATATAAGACTTCAATAGCTCATAAAAGGTTTATTTACCAAAATTTAAGCAGATTCTAGATTTCTTTTTTTTCGATTTGAGACCCAAATAATACCAATGCAAATGTAAGGTAATAGTCTAAGCCAGCATTTTCTCGCCATTGAAAAAAATTAAATATCTCGAAAAGGAGCTCCATAACCTATCAATATGTTTAGCTTATTTTGTTCCTTAACTAATGCTCTTCTGACTTATAGTATCAATTTTAAATTCTAGATTTTTTTTAATTTCACTTAAGTACATCCTTAACAGTCGTATTTCTAATGACAAGTAAAATGCAGGTGATAGTAATACAACACAACAGTCGCATACTTGACTACAGGTTACAGAACTGAATTTCTATATGTGTACCTTGCAAAACTTCTAGTTCCTTTTCCTTGGATTCTAACTGGGAATTTAACCGCATCCCTTCTTCAAATTGTTGTAAAAGCTGTAAATGTGTTTCTGAAATTATATAACAAATGATAAACATATTAAATGAAGATGTGAGACATTTTGAAATTGAACATGTAATATAAAGATTATATATCTGTAAATAATGATAATACTAATGAAAAGAAAAAAGGCTGCGACAAGAGCGACAAGAGCGCATGATACGCCCGTACACATATCAGTAACAGATGACAATGAATGTAGATTTACTAGATATTATTGAATGAAAAAAAAGTGTGATATAGGGTTCGTGAAAGGTAATGTCGCGAGACATAACTTAAGTATAGAATGACTAATATGGATATCGATAAATTCAAAAAAAAAGCAGCTTACTTCTACATTGAAAGTAATACTATCACAAACACTGATATAATTTGGTGAAACTCCCATATTTCTAACTATGAAACGAATAATTTGACTATTCAAAAAATCGAAGAAATGCTTGTCTAAAACAACTCTCGACATTATTTACAGATTTGGTTAGGATTTGTTAAAGCATATACTATAGTAGTACTTGAATTACTGTTAGACTAACCCGGACAGACGGATGGACGGATAAATGCTATGCATACAATGTCCGTCAATGGCAGGCGCTATAAAGATAAGATGTACAAACAATTTCACAACTTATTGGTGTATGCGTACTAAGTTTGACGTTGGAATGATTAAAACCTCATGGTAAACTAAATTCAACATAATTTTAACCTAATACGAGACAAAAAGACGAACGGACGGATGCACAGACCAGAAAACATAATGCCCCTATTATCGTAGGCGCGGAATACAACATTGAATTTATAAATAAGTGAATGAACAAGTATAAATTAATAAGTATAATTAATAAATGAATATAGTAAACCTGGATTAAAAATACTAAAAATGCCTAGTAATTATTTCTGAAATAATATTTTTATTCTCAAGCATCAAAAGCGTCAACTTGTACACATTGAACAAAATTTGAATGTTTAAAAAAGACTAAATAAACTTACGCTGATGTTCTGAGGATTCTTTTTGTAAATCCATTTCCTTCTGTCTGAAAGCCATGGTGAGCTGTAGTATTTGACCTATATAATTCAATATGACAATTGTTATATGAAATATAATATGTTTTTCGTGATATTTTAAGAACTATAATTTATTTTTGACGGTTCTAGCTTCTCCGTCTTCTGTTTTTTTCAAGCTTATTGCGTAAAAGTGCCTTTTCCGTATTGAATGCAGGATACATTTTATTGTTTTCTTTCAAAAAAATTAGTCCGAGATTGCTCTGACGTTTGACAGCATTTTTGCGGACGTGTTGGGGCCATGGGACATCTAAGAGCAGTCCATACACTAAACATGAAATCATCTTTAAATTGTAAAGGTCCATTTTCAAGTAGATAAATCAGATTTCATATTCATTTTATTCCACGAATATGGATTTTTAATCACGTACTAATTATCTGTAGCACATATACACTTTATTCTCTTCAACACCAATTGGTTTCACTTTGAACAATGCGTTATTTCATTTCGTGTACATAGATTCTTGGGAGTTGATTCATGCATATTATCTGTGGGACCCCAAGAATAGCCTTTTCGTCCAATCTTTCTAAAAGAAGGTAAGTCGAGATTGGTCTGATGTCTGACGGCGTTTTATTATCACGTGATCGGGCGTTGTGAAGTCAGATCACAGTCCATATAGAAAGCATGGAAATTGCCGACCCAGACTAAAGGCGGCAAGTTTTTATCTCTAAATCGTGAGCATAGATTTTGTGAGTTAATTCATGCTTATGATCCCAGTATACTGCATATATAAACGAACTTTGCCTCTTCATCCAAAATAGTGTATGCAAAATTAACGCATCTCAGCGTATCTGCAAGAATAAGCTCCCATGGTTACAAGTGCGGTGAAGAAATTGCGCTAGTTCGCAACTTTGTTTTCAAGGTGAAAGTATGTCGCTGAAAATGGTGGGTTAATGGAAATAAAGTGTTCGTTTGTGCTACAAGGGTTAAAACGCGAAAATAAAAGTTACATATTCTTGAGTAAAATGAAGAAGGGATAAGTATAACAAAACAAATGTTGTTTTTCGAATACATTACCGTCAAAAGAATTTCAATATGCTTGACAATATTTTTACCATTATGGTCATCTACGCCTCTCCTTTCCTTGAACCCTGGATCCTGGAATACATAACTTACCCTTTCATTATGATGTGTATATTAAGGTAGTGTTAGAAACGGGACTAGCATTATAATATTCCCTCATCTTTTAAAATGTGCATTCTCCCTCTCTCTCTCCTTCCCCTATATTTACCTTCCAACTGCTGTTTATTTTCTTGTAACTTATTAATCTGCAACATTTTAGATTTGGCATCATCTTCCTTTATTTTGATGGTTCTTTCTTGAAGTTGTAGTTTGCTTTGTAGATTACCTATTGAAAAGTTATTCAAACACTCAGCGAATGAATACTAATAATACATGGAATAGGATCCCAGTTACGGCAACCAGTCCGGTACCCACGAATGTAGTTCTTAAAAAAAAATGTATAACTTTTATCTAAAATGGTGTAGTGTTATTATTACACAAGTTCTGTATCTGAATGTAGATTTATTTGAAGGGGTAGGCTTTCCAGTTTGAATTTCTGTAAAAATTTTGATTGATTTAACTGTAATCTGGCGTCAGTACATAGAGTAAATTGCCTAAATTCTAGACTTTATTCTTCCCCGGAAGTAGACGGACTGACCCTGTTGTCAATCAAAACAAAATTTTGCAACGGAATGCCGGTCATGAGGCACTGAGATTGTACTTAGAAACTTCAAAACAAATGCCTAACATGAACCAGAAGTCCCAAGGTGGCTATCAAAATTATTAATTGAATAGCACCCCATTTATTTACTACGATTTTCAATGCGTTTCAATGGGGCAAATAATTGGGTCCCCGTTCCACATAGAGGATAGTGGTGGGAGCCATCACAGTGTGCCCCGCAGCGTGTAAATGAGTAACGTGTGATCGTATATTATCATTCTGTCGATGCGCATGATTATCGTCTTACTTTGTTCTATACCATTTAAAAAGTAAACAATGTCAAATCTCATACATCTACGTGTGGACTCGAGGGTATCATTAGCCCAGTAGTGACTGATTCGCCACTAACGCGTTTTAAAACATACATTGCTTAAACATTTCTGTTGGAAAAAATTGAAATTATTAAGAAACTTAGGTTCAAGCTCAAGTGACAAGTAAATAGTTTGTAATTCTTGACATACAATAAATATTGTTTAAAAAGTGATTTTTAATTACAAATAACCATACTTTTTTTTAAATCTAAGATTTGATTACAAAGATATTAAAAGATTATATTTGTGTTTATGAAGGTTCAATTTATGTACTTTTTATATTACCAAGAGTTGCGAGAGAAGTCTACAAGAGTAAAACGGCATTCTTCATTACATAATTTCCATAGAAAACATAATAATTAATAAAGAATTTAAGATCTAGCTTGACTAAACCGAGGAGCCTTATAAGTGAAATTACCTAATGCAGTTTCTATTTGTTTCTTATATTTCTCGTGACTCTCACGAACATGACACAATTCTATCGTCAGTTGTGCTATCTTTTCTGCAAATAAACAAAAATGAACAGAAGATTACAAATAGCATTCATGCTAATATATATAAGTATAAATCTATCATAAATTTTGCAAAAAAAAAAAGAAAAAAAAAGAAAAAAAAAAAGTTGTTTATCAAAAGTAGTAAAGTTTATAGTGATCTTAGTATAGAAGGTTTTGGATCCCTTTAGGTTATATACAGTGTCTATTGTCTAACTACTCAACTATTTAAACAATCTCAGCTTTCCCTCTTTTTTTCTGATTTTGGGCGTTCCTGATTAAAAAAAAACGCATTTGAGGCATAAAATTAATTTTATTTTCTTGCACTTGGGGGGGGGGGGGGGGGGGGTTGCACTGTTTGGATATTGTTACTTGTGGTCTGTTCGTCCTCGATGGTATCATTAGACAAGAAGACAGTGGTCCGCCATTTACGTGATTTACGTGATTTATTGAATATATAAAAGTTTTCGTTGATAAAATTTGAAATTATTAAGAAACTAAGGTTCAAGCTCTCAAGGTTGGCCTGATATGATTTAAGATATTCTGATAAGGTAATTTTTTTGACATATCGAACCTAAAATATTTAAAACATCCCTAACTTTCATAATTGTTGGTTTTGATCCTTCCTGATGAAGGCAATCCCAGAAAAGAACTTCGATTTTAAATTGTGTTATTTTTTTTTTCTTGTACTGGGTGTATATTGCTATATCGATGGTATCATCAGCCCAGTAGTGACTGCTTCACAAATGGCGTGATTTAAAATATACGATTCTTATGTTGAATGTTGAAAATCGAATGTTGAATGTTGAAAACGTAACGAATGTTGAAAGTTGAAAATCGAATGTTTAAAACTTCTGTTGGAACAAATATAAATTATTTACAAACTAAGGTTCTGTTTTCCTCAGGCAAAATTAAGCTTAGCTAGTTTTCATATTTTATTTTAACTAAAGGTTCCTTTTGGTCATGTAGCTATCGAAATAGTAAAACACCCCCTTCTTAATGTTTTTTTAAGCGTTCCTGATGAAGGCTAATAAAGAAAACCTCTATGGATGCACCAAATTCATAAAAAAAAAAATTTCATTTGCACAGCAAAATACCAAGCAATCAGTTAAGTGTTATAAATGACAGAGATCTTTATCAATAATCCGCACATTTACATATCATCCAATTAAGGAATAACCAACTTTTAATGGCAAAGCAACAGTCCTCCTGATTGAACAAATTGATCTATTACGCAAATCATGCATAAAATAATTGTTCCAATATAAAAATAGTTTTACTATGCTTGCCAATAAAACAACCTCAAAATAAAGTAACGGGATTGTAAACAAAAAAAGGTAAATGAACGGCCTTCAACATTGGTCGAAACCGAAACTATATAGTAAGTTTATAAAACAAATTAAACAGAAAATCAATGGCCTGTTAAATCAATAATGGCCTTTGTGAAATCTGTAGGTGGTACATGCACTTGACTTTTGTAATCCCATTGATTCGGATATCATATAATCCCATACTAAATATTTTTCGTATCGAAATCGTAAAATTCTTTCAAACACTTATTGATCTGCTGACCTGTTCAACGTTTAAACAGAATATTTCTATCAATCATATGAATGCAAATAATATAATTACCCTCTTTTTGTCTTCGATCTGCCTCTATTGAAGTGTTATTTACAATTAGTGCGTTTAACTCCTGTTGCTTTGTCTCTACAAAAACAAATTATGGACGTATGAAATTGTATGACACAAATTCAACGTTTTGCCATGCTTAAAGTTTTAAACGCCAGACGCGTGTTTCGTCTACAAAAGACTCACCAGTGACACCCGAAAAATAAAAAAAGTTTAAAAGGTCAAATTAAGTACGAAGTTGAAGAGAATTTAGGCCCGAAATTCAATGATAAAATCCGAAAGAAATGAAAATTTTGAAATAAATTCCGAGTTAAACTAATGCAAAAGAAACTTGCCATTTGTTTTGTTCTCCTTGGTCAACATCTGTTGTAAACGTCTGTTGAGAGAATGGGTTTCGTCTAATCGTGCTAAAATAAACTCAAACAAATAAGACTACACTTTGATATACTTGAAACACCATTCTTTTCAATCTTTTATTTCTTTTGATTTTAGAATAAATGTCTTCAAATTGATCTTATATTAGACATTTACTAGTTCTTACGTATTTTGTATTTATTTACATTGATTTCATTTCGCCTGCTGCGATATTAAAAAAGAAAGACAAAATTTGTAACTTCTATATTTTTGTTGGTCTCCGAATGTTAAAATCAAAGCATAAAACTATTATTCTGATTTAATATTCATAACATTGGAATGAAAAATGAAACTCTAACAGGACGGCCTGCTGCGATATTAAAAAAAAGAGACAAAATTTGTAACTTCTATATTTTTGTTGGTCTCTGAATGTTAAAATCAAAGCATTAAACTATTATTCTGATTTAATATTCATAACATTGGAATGAAAAATGAAACTCTAACAGGACCGCTGCGATGTTAAAAAAGAAAGACAAAATTTGTAACTTCCATATTTTTGTTGGTCTCTGAATGTTAAAATCAAAGCATAAAACTATTATTCTGATTTGATATTCATAATATTGGAATGAAAAATGAAACTCTAACAGGACCGCCTGCTGCGATATTAAAAAAGAAAGACAAAATTTGTAACTTCTATATTTTTGTTGGTCTCCGAATGTTAAAATCAAAGCATAAAACTATTATTGTGATTTAATATTCATAATATTGGAATGAAAAATGAAACTCTAACAGGACCGCCTGCTGCGATATTAAAAAAGAAAGACAAAATTTGTAACTTCTATATTTTTGTTGGTCTCCGAATGTTAAAATCAAAGCATAAAACTTTTATTCTGATTTAATATTCATAACATTGGAATGAAAAATGAAACTCTAACAGGACCACCTGCTGCGATATTAAAAAAGAAAGACAAAATTTGTAACTTCCATATTTTTGTTGGTCTCCGAATGTTAAAATCAAAGCATAAAACTATTATTCTGATTTAATATTCATAACATTGGAATGAAAAATGAAACTTTAACAGGACCGCTGCGATGTTAAAAAAGAAAGACAAAATTTGTAACTTCTATTTTTTTGTTGGTCTCCGAATGTTAAAATCAAAGCATAAAACTATTATTCTGATTTAATATTCATAACATAAGATTCGTATATCAAATAAATAATTTCGTCAGTTACCAAGCTCGTCTGCTACTCGTTTGTGTCTTTCAGTGGTTTGGGTAAGTACTGTTTTAGCACTGACTAATTGGTCATTACATGACTTCAATGAACTCTCTTGTGTTTTTACCTTATCTGAAAACAAAGACGATAAACATACACATTTATTTATAAAATATAGTAAAATTGTAATGAATCAAAATGTTAACCGATGGGAGAGTATGTAAATGCCTCTCATACACTCCCCCCTTACAAACATACAGAATGAAAAATCACGGAAAATGGGTTTAAAGCAGACTATGAAGAAACAAATAGTATTGCTTTTCTCGGTAGAGGTTTAACACGAGCAATCATTTTGAATATTATTATATCTTGTTGTAATGTTGTCATGTTGAGCACGTGCAATTACATTTATTTGGAAAAAAATGTTAATCTAAAATAGACCAATTGATTTTCGTTTGACAATAAAAATGGTGTAATCCTCATCAATATACCAATAATTGTTGAAGAATTTTTCTGTTCCTCTTCTTTTATTTGAGTAAAGCAATTTATAACTTTGTATCACTATCTTAAAGAGAGACAGAAGATACCAAGGTGAAATCAAAAATCAAATTAAGTCGAAGAAAAGTAGATAACACCATGGCCAAAAGGGTTTGGCAAAAAAAAATATATATAAATGAGCTTGTTTAACCAAGCCACATTCTTTATGCGTCAGTCCCAAGTCAGGAGCCTGTAGTTCAGTGGATATTGTTGGTTCATGTCTGTCATATTTGTTGTTCGTAAATTGTTTTGTTATGAATTAGGCCGTTAGTTTTCTCGTCTGAATTGTTTCATATTTTTCATGTTGGGGCCTTTTATAGCCGACTTTACGGTATGGGTTATTTTCATTATTGAAGGCCGTACGGTTGCCTAAAACTGCTTACATCCACTTTATTTGAACTTAAGTGGATAATTGTCTCATTGGCAATCATACCACATCTCCATATTGTAGTATTATCTTACCTGATAACGATTTAAATTCTTTCTGTTTTGATATTGTGCTTTCTTCAACAGTCCTCAATTTTTCATGAGCTTTTATTATGTCTTCTGGAGAAAATAAAAAATCAAATGTTATTGACACATGTATATATCGGTAGTTCTTATTTTAATTTTTACAGATAATAGATTGTCTTGTAAGGAAATTCAGAGTACTATAAACCAACTTATTTTCGGGGATACTATATTTCGTGTTGAGCCCTTTCTATACCACTACGCGGCGATTTAGTTTCGCGATTTTCAAATTTACTTGATGTATTCAAATAAGGAAAGATACAAGTTTGACATAATCGCGACGATTAAAATCGCGTTATTTTTCTACCCGCAAAAGTTGCGATAATACATAGCTCGCGAAAATTAGTTGGTTTACAGTAATCATTTAATGATATGTGTAGTAACTACAATAAGTTCCGGGAATGAAGAGTGAAAACTATTGATTTATTTTCAGTATTTTTTTTCTCAATTAAATGGGTGACCATTTAATTTTCTGAGGGGTGGGGGATATTTGAAAGGTGTGCAATACAAAATATAAGAAACAATTGTGTACAAAACCATTAAACATCAAAAGTTGATACATGTAGTTAATCAGTAGGATTGTATGAACTTCAGGCCGAGTTAATTGTATTTCATTCATAACTGAATAGCAATGTTATGAGGTTGAATGATGATATGTACATGTAAATGCACTTTTAAGAATAAAAATAATTTACCGTTAAGACCTTCGATGGATTTCTCCTTTTCTTTAATTAATTCCTCCGTTCTTCTAATTTCTGTATCAGGGTCGTTCTGTGGAGAACTGTCTATAAGTGTTTAAAATTGTATCATTGGGCACATCAATTAATACTTTTTGATTTACGCGTAACAAACAAAGACAACATTGGTTTCATTTATCACTTCCGTATAATTATCGATAGAAGTTGATTTTACATACATTGTAATGCCGGATAATGTGGTAACTGGCTTTCTGATCGTATGACAGTAAGCCATCCAATTTAATGAATTTTGTCCTATCATGGATACAAAATATGTTCAACTTAAATGCAGAGAATAGTCATAAAAAATCAGTATCTTTTACATTTGATAATTATAATTATTTGGATGCCTCATTAATGCAATAGTGTCTGAACTTTACAGGTTGTTTTTTTTTATTATCTAGACGTGACATGCAGATAAGCAAGATGCTCATGCATTGTCCGTTGTGCGAAACACGTCATCTCATATTGTTTATAACAAATCGAGATATCCATTAATTACGATCAAAATATATTCCAAAATATTTCACCACGAATTCATCTACCATATTGTTATTTTTTTCAATTTGTTAACTTTTCTATCAATATGTATTTATTGTGTCCTCTAGATCTATCGCTCAGTTTGTGCCGGAGTGCCAATAAAATCTTTTAGAATCAACTTGAAAAGAACATTAATTTACTTTAAGGTGATTTAAAATCTAACGAGAACGTAAAATATGTCCTTAACCTTAACATCATCTAGCGAAGATTTGTCTCATTGGCTTTATATCTTATTATTTTTATCATGATAAATAAAGTAAAGATGCATGCATTACCATTATCCCCGTTTCTGTTATTCCCAGAACCTTGACCATTCTCTCCGGACATCTTTTTGCTAGATCTTCTAATGACGATTATCAACTGTAGGGATAGAAATATAAATATTTTAGGAGTTCTGTCAATGATAATATGTGCATGAATCGAAACAAGAACACAACATTTTGTTATCAATCGTTATCGTATCGGTGCAATGAATACGTGTATTAATCATTTTATGAGCAGGCATGTATATCTAGTCTTCACATCAAGCTTAAATTAACTTTTTAAATACGGATATACTATCAATATGTATGTATTATTGGTTACCTAAACTCCACAAAAAAACCCGTAAAACATACTTTCATCTCGGCCACTAGTAAGAGTTCTACTACCTATCGTTCAGTGCTTTTAACGATATCCTTAACTACTAATCAAAGAACTTATCATTAACTTTTGTAATAAAACATATGAAGATAGTTGAATTTACCACTTTCGGAGCGTAAAAAATTCTTTGGATGTTTTAGATAAATTACGTGCTTTTGATGGTCCTTTTGAATCTGTTGACAGTTTTGACTTTTCCCCTCTTTATACTACACTTCCACACTATCTCATCAAACAAAAGTTTTTCCTATTGAATCAAATGGTCGTTTAGTGTAAACAATATTTTATTTAGAAACAAATAAATAAATGCGTACATCAATACAATACATGGAGTGGAAAACAAGTGACAAGTCACTTATACAAATTCTTCTCCTAATGGTCGTTTGTTTGACAAATCTGATTGCAAATTTATTTGCTGCAATTCACATAAAGCCTTTTTTTTTCAAATGAGAAAGGTAAATATGTTAGAAATACTTACTGGTGGTATGATGAGATGATTAAAGCCGTAAATGTTCTCCTTGACAACATTTATGTACGTTTCGGCATAAAGCTTATTGACAGGTTGTAGTTATTCCTATGGGCACCAATTGTGCCCCTTTTAATATCAGACTTATTCAAGTACTGTTATGAATCACAGTTAATGGCAAAACTCAGTAAAGACCCGTCTAAATTCTATTTACTAAATAGTAATTAATCAATTCAACAACACTTACCGTTATCTTGATGATATGTTTTCTTTAAATAATCAAGAATTCTCTAAATATACTGCCGAAATTTACCCAAATGAACTTACTTTAAATAAATCAAATAGTAACAGCAATAACTGTCCTTTCCTAGATTTAGGTATTTCAGTTTTTTGCCAGAAACTCTACACAAAGATTTACGACAAAAGAGATGATTTTTCTTTCCCTATTGTTAATTTTCCTCTTTTGGACGGTGATGTTCCTTTTGCATCGTCTTATTGTGTTTATGTATCCTAACTCGTTTGCTATGCCCGTGTCTGTAGTGACGTTTTGGATTCCAATGAGCGTATTATTGGTAAATCATTAAGTCAGGGATTTCGTTTCCACAAATTACTTTATACCTTTACTAAATTCTTCCATAGATATAAAGATTTGGTTTGCAATCTTGGCTGTACCTGTAGAAAACTTATTTCAAACGGAATAAATAGCACATCCTTTTAATTTTTTCTGCTTTGTATCGATCTGATGAGTAAGCCCTTTTCAACTGATTTTTATAGTTTGTTCTTATGTTGTGCTGTAACACCACTGTAAAATGTTAGGGGAGGGTTGAGCGCTCACAAACATGTTTAACCCCGCCACATTCTGTATGTGCCTGTCCCTGTAGTTCAGTGGTTGTCGTTTTTTCATGTCTGTCATATTTTTGTTTTTCGTAAATTGTTTTGTTATAAGTTAGGCCGTTAGGTTTCTCAATTCAATTGTTTCATATTTTTCATGTCAGGGCCTTTTATAGCCGACTATACGGCATGGTTTTTTTTATCATTGTTGAAGGCCGTACGGTTGCGTATAATTGCTTACATCCACTTCATCTGAACTTTGGTGGATAGTTGTCTCATTGGCAATCATACCACATCTCCTTATTTTTATACTATTACTGAGGAAAATATAATCAAAGTAGTTTGATCATGTAATACTGTATTCCATAACATATACAGCATGTACACACACATACAGTATATGTTCCATAACATATACAGCATATACACACACATACAATATCTGTTCCATAACATATACAGCATGTACACACACATACAATATATGTTCCATAACATATACAAACATGTACAAACACATACAATATATATGTTCCATAACATATACAGCACGTACAAACAACACATATAATATATGTTACATATCATATACAGAATGTACACACACATAAAATAAATGTTCCATAACATATACAACATGTACAAACACATACAATATATGTTCCATAACATATACAGCATATACAATTACAAACGCCTACAAGGTCAGGCATCAATACCTGGACGTTTAATCTGTTTGTGCAGTATTGACATAGTTCACAATCCAACATAATGACTAAAGATTCAGCTGGTGTCTTTTTTTAAAATTTTTTTTTCATTTGGGGGGGGGGGGGGGGCAAAGGTTATTTTCTTCTTCACGATTACACCACAAATCCCTTTATTCGTATATGCGAATATATGTCATTACTAGAAAAAAAATGCGTCAGCTCTTCAATAGGTTCGGGTGACTATGTTTCCTGTCAGTTTAGTCGGAGTTAAGGCGTTTATAGGTAAGTGGGTATGGAATCATGGGTAGACATATTATCATTTCAAAGTGGTTCGACAAACAAAACGTACTAGTGTAAAAGACATAAATACGAGCAATCGTGAAAATGAAAACAAACTTTTTTTCTGAAATATAAAGCAAAAAGTATAAACAATCAATTTATGCAAATTCGTGTATTCGGCAAACGAAAGTAGAAGGCTGAGCGCATGCATAAACTGATTGAGACAATAAATGTGATAAACTTTTGCCTTTTAAGTCAAAATTTTAAAAAATATTTCATTTGGGAATTTTTCATCATGTGTATTATTCATCTGTAATGTCAGGGCCTTTCATAGCTCGCTATGCGGTGTGGGTTTTTCTAATTGCTGAAGTCAGTACGGTGACATTTATATTGCTCCTAACTTAGAACTACGTCATTTTCTCTCTTGTTGAAAGTTGTCTCATATTTTATAATGAACATATCGTCGTATACATTTTTATGTTTGTTGTATTAAAAAAGATTTAGATTAGTAGTATGTTATCACCCAAATATTGGATCCTCGCAGATTATGTCCATAGAAGAAAAGGGGTAATTAATTCTTCTATCTCATTGTTGGTCGACTCGTAAAAATTTCTTCTAAGATCGCAGACTAAACTAAACCACCATTTTCAATTATATGCAATGGGACAACAGAGCGAATCACTTTGTGTGACTCAGAGTTAGTTCTTACAATTTTTAATTAACAATTTTCCCATAAAAAAATTAATTGCAAAATTTTATAAACTAAATACAATTGAAATTAATGATATGCACTTTTGCCCTGTTAAATACATTGTTTTGCGGAAAGTGGCGAAGATGCCGAGACGACAGGTCACCGACCTATAGAAAACAAACTCATTGGCGGAACTTACTCATGAAAGACTGGTAGAGCGATTAGTCCAACATTGTCGTCAGTTTTAATTTTCATTAAGTCGGGTATTGTCATTCGACATCTACATCCAACTTCCATCAGTGGACAGATTATTAAGAATATTTTACAGGTTGCCATAGAATTAAGATTACACAACAATAAAATTGAGAAAGTTTAAATAATATGCAGTCTTACTAGAGTAATAATTGCGGGGATTGAAGACGGGTTAATGTCACTGTAAACATATACGTAGATATAATCGTCTCTGGTAATTCTATATGAATGGCTTTTAGATATTTGTAATTTGATTCAAAACATGTGTTTTGTACTTGTTTGTAAAAGTTGAAACGTTAATAAGATATTGCATTGTATTGTTCATGTACTGAACACGAACTTGTGGAAAAAAAACATTTAAAAAGATTTCGTTCTATTCGATCTAAAAATTTACGAATTGCAGCAAGAACAAGGGGTTCCCAAGAGACTGAATCGCTCACCTGGTAAAACATATCCAATTTGATATATATTTTGTTCCTTAATTGCAATCAGTTGTAATACTTGCTTATTTGCAGATCTTTTTAACTGCCATTTTTGTAGGTCTTATAAAGATGGTTATTTTCACTGTTTAAAGTTTATACCTGTCTATTGAAGTTTTTGAGATAGAAAAGTCACTTAATGCAATAAATCGTATAACTTGTGCTGAATAGTTTTACTTTTAAAAGTATCTAATTATTTATTATAGTTTGTTCAAAAAGTAAAAAAAAATGGAGAAAAAAATCACCTTGCCAGGGTAATATTTCTGAAAGGGATTAGTTGACAATGATGAATTATTTGTAGATCTTACTGTGTGTTAAATAATCTTTACTTTTTACAACTTCTCTTTCTATAAAAATGCTTTCTGCAAAAATGAAAAAAAAAATTGATAACAACCAACTTTCAGGGAATTGATAACTCATAAAAGCGGTCAATTTACAAATGTTGTTCAGTTGACTTCTTTTTTTTAGATTTTATTTTTAATACACAATTTCTCTCTATCTATCATACTTTCTGCCAAAAAAAGGCAAAAATAAGTAAAATGAGTATTTCAAGGGCAATAACTCCTATGAGGACTAATTGACGATTCGTCCATCTTGTCTTATTTTGCTGACCGTTTTTGCTTCTATGTATTATATTTTCTGCAAAAATATCAGTAAAATTATTCTTTCAAGGGCAATTTCTCCTGTAAGAGGTCAATTCAAAATTCGTCCGTGGTGACTTATTTGTAGATATTACTGTTCTTGTCATTCTTACTGTTAAAAAATAGGCCATTTTGACTTATTTTGCTGAACTATTTTGCTTCTTACAATTTCTTTTAAGCTTTTATAGTTTTTGCAAATCAGTAAAATTGGTCTTTCAATGGGCACTTATTTGTAAATATTACTCTCCTGGTCATTCTTACAATAAAAAAATCTCTCTATCTGTTACAGTTTTCAGGGACAATAACTCCAAAATGGGCATTTTGATTTTTCTGCAAATTTCACAGGAGATAATCCTTGACCTGCTGGTCAATCCTATCATGTCAAATTGCTTTAACTGCTTTAGGTTTTGAGATATAACCCAATACTTTGAAATTTACTAAAAATTGATATTCCAGGGGCAAAAACTCAAAAATGGATTGTCCGATTTTTCTGAACAGTTCACAGGTGATAGACCATGACCTTCTGATTAATTATAACACTGTCAGATTTGCTATAACTGCCTTAGTTCTTGAAATACAAACCAACAACTGCATGTTACCCCTATGTTCTATGTTTAGCAACAGCGGCCATCTTTGTTGACGGATCACATTTCCGGATACAACATTTAAACTAGATACCATAACGATCCTTTAGATTGAGTTTGGCAGCATTTGACCCAGATGATTTAAAGGAGATTTTTTTTAAAAGTTTACGACAAAGGACGGACGATAGACGCCAAGTGATGGCAAAAGTTCACGTGGCCTTTTAGTCTATGTGAGCTGAACAGACGTAAAACAAAATAACCCCTTTCAATTTTTTCACATAGTTTGAGAAACAGATAACGACGTAATAATTCAGAATTTTAAATAAAATGGAATATAAAATATTCATCAAAAACATCTTGATTATTGAATTTTAAATGAAATTGTCAGAAAATATTAATTATTATACACAAATTGAAGAAAACATTTGAAATGAGAAAATTGTAATTCAATTCAGATTTGAATGATTTTTTTTCTGCTCTGTCACACATAACTCTTACCAGGAGGAAAGGCGTAATCAGGCCGTTGAATTTCTCGTTAGAATTGTTTCTTATTTTGTTATCCCGAGCCTTTTGTGGCCGACTATACGGTATGGTATGAGTTTGCTTGTAAATGAAGGTCATACAGTGATCTGTAGTTGTGTACACCCTTGCCGTTTGGTCTTAGGTGGACACTGAGGGTGGACGGTAGTCTCATAAACAATCACACCACATTTTTACACTGAATGTGGACAAGATTAAACAAAAATAAGGATATACATCCTCGACGCGATCTTGAGTATTATTAACATTAAAAATCGTGCTTGTAAGTGCCTATTTTACGAAATTAACAATTTTACTTTCGATTTCGTCAATTATAAGTACGATCCAAAATTCATAGTCATTTACATCCATAACTTATATAAAACATTTCTACATTTTTTGAAAATTTAATATTATTCTACTTTCGTTTTCTCAAAACTTCCGATTAATTTGGAAAAAACGGTAAAGAGAACTAACTATATATAATCCCGTATTGGACCTTACGGGTTTAAATAATGTAAAACTGTACTTACTCTGCAAATATATTGAAATCCGTGCGCTGAAGTTTTCAGTTGGAAGAAAGTCCGTCAATGTGTAGACATAACAAGACAAAAATTAACCCCTGATATTTATCAATAATTCATTCGTCACGTGATACATGTTCTTTAAAGTTTTAAAATAAAATTTATCCAGGTATTTAACTTTATCTAATACATGTAAATGTTATTACATTACGTAATCAATGTCACCATATAATGAACTTTCACCAACATTAATAAACGCATACATGCTTACCCTAAACTGTCTTTTTTACTACATTTTTTGTTCACACAACACAACAATACCATTTATGAAATGAACATTATGTAGGTTCTGGCGCAGGTATTTGGGGCATGGACCCCTTTTAGGGCCCAATGTAAAAAAAAAAATAATATCTATTTTTCTATATTTACAATTTTCTACAATGTGTAGACATATATACATGTACCAAGTCTCAAAAATCCATAACTAGTCGGTTACAATACCTTTTCAACAATCCACACGAACCCCAAGTGAAAAAAGAACAGCAAGCAGTTCGATATTGTAATATTTTCACATAAATTTTATTAAGGTCTGTCGCCTTAACATTGAAATGTGATTTCATTAGATTTTACGGTAAAATATTTATATTTAACATATCATATATCATTTAATTTTTTTTCAACATTTTCCGTGTCTCCCTTAAATGTTACCGAAGAGCCATTGTTCAAGTTTTATTCAGTATCATGATAATTTAGGACCGACAAATGAACTATGAAAACACATGCTTCTTCTTTGACATGGGGATCGTGTGGATAGTAGAAAAGGTATTGTAATCGACTAGTTGTGGATTTTTGACACGAACCTAGACCAAGCAGCGCTGTGGTCAATTATGGTAACATTCATTCGTTTGAGATCTACCTTAGTGTGGCCATGGGATCTCAAATGTCGACTGGGAGGAAGGTCTGCATTCAATAGTCACTACGATGGCCGCTCATATATAAATGTATATATAAAAACACGGATGACCCACTTGTTTTGTTGATTTTAAAATTTATTTCAGATATTTTTTGGGAAATGAGATAAACTACTCAAAGTTAATTTGTCAGTGAATCGATTTATATTAAATTTGATACAATTTGTATATAACTAAGCAGAAATGCATACGATCAAAGCCTTATGTGGGCGGATTTACCGGACTGCACCGTACATTTAGATTGCTGTTAAAAGTTGCAAACAGTATCTAGTAATAGTATCTAGTAAGAGATAACGAAAAGGTTATACTTTTTTGAGTGGATACATGCCTTAATTTGTATGATTTAATGGAACTACGATATGTGAAATATCGATCTTTCCTGAATTGTGAAAAATAATGATAGAGGGTGAAAATTTATAAACCGTATTGTCATATCGTATGGAAAAGAGCAGGACACATTAAATAAGTGGAATAAGTTAAAATATTATAGACAATTCACTAAAAAAAAACATACCTAACAACACGAACAAACATTTAGAAGGGGGGTAGGGGTCCATTTCCCAAGCGCTTGTGGCCTGTGAGCAAATCTATCAAAAATGATTAAAAGCGAAACTAAAAAAATAAATAAATCTGGGGATGAAGAAAGTGTTCATCGAAAGGTCACCGAGTTCCAAGGTAATATAATCGGTACACAAATGCAAATAAATAAATATGAGCATCTGCTTCAATTCATATTTTGGTAGCGTTAGGGGGATAGTCAAATTGGTTTTGAGAGTTTCATTTAACCTCTGACTTCTTCATGTTATCAAATTAGTTACATCCAAAAATAAAATTCATCAAGAATAGAGGTACTTATTTAAAAAATAAGGAGATGTGGTATGATTGCCAATGAGACAGATATCCATCCAAGTTCAAATGAAGTGGATGTTAGCAATTATAGATAACCGTACGGCTTCAACAATGAGAAAAACTCATACCGTATAGTCGGCTATAAAAGGCCCCGACATTAAAAATATGAAACAATTTAATTGGGAAAACTAACGGCCTAATTCATAACAAAACAATTTACGAACAACAAATATGACAGACATGAACCAACGACAACCACTGAACTACAGACTCCTGACTTGGGATAGGCACATAAAAAATGTGGCGGGGTTAAACATGTTTGTGAACGCTCAACCCTCCCTTTACCTGGGACAGTAGTGATACAGCACAACATAAGAACAAACTATAAAAATCAGTTGAAAATATCTTAAGGGCATACGATACAGTTTTGATCCCATAATGAAATTTTAATGAAAATTTGCATATAGGCTATTTTTTACCTGATTTAATCAAATATGTAATAAAAAATATGAGGTAGAAATTTCAGATATTTGCTCAAAATTCGGATCTGTGGACGTATTTTTCCTTTCGACAGAAATTCATAACTTTTTTGTTTTAAAAGATAAACACAAGCTGTTTAATGTTAAATTATTTGTAAATTCTGTTTTATATAAATGTCCTATAAATTTGTGAATTTTATTTTTACTAATAACTCATATTTATCAAATGTTCATGAATGTAGAAAAAACCGTCATTTTTTGCTGTATATTTATCAAATTTAAAGAAATTGCATTATTGACTTTTTCATGAAAATTGGTACACATAATCTTCATACAATATCAAACCAAATGTCATTTTAAAAAAGAGGGGTCCATGAACTCATTTTCAAGATAAATCAGTTTGAATGATAACAAGCAGTCGAAAACTGCATCTTTTCCCGATAAGTCGCAGTTTGACGTCGTGAAAATAACAATTTACGTTAGCAACGTCATTACCTCTGCTGTAACTGTATCGTATGCCCTTTACTCATCAGATCGATACAAAGCAGAAAAACATCTAACAAAACACAGACCGGACGTGGCAGGGTATTTATAATACATCCATAACAACAGAAAAGACACAGCTTGGTTTTAGCCTATAATAATAATTTACATGAAACGCCATTCAATGATATTAATATGATGTCACTTCGGAAGCATTGATCTCATAATCAACAAGGATTCTCTCATTATTTGTGACTGTAAATGCATTTTTCGTTGCAATTCCATGTAAGGTTTTTGAATTATCAACCAGAGTAACTGAAAACATGACACACACTATGTTATAACCAGTTGCACATATATCATGATGCGATGACTTTTTATTTGTTGAGAAAAATGCGACAAATGATCACAAATGTGTTGCATCAGACAGATTGTTTCAGATAAAAAAGGTTTTCACAGTGTTAATTTCATTTTGTTTACTCTTGTGTTTATATTTGCTTAACTTGTTCTTTATCGGGAACGTGTATACTAGTACGGCCTTGTGTTTTACTATACTGTATGTTCTGTCAACTACAAAAACTGTTTTGGTTGGCGACTTTGTCAGATTTACTGTTAACTTCAATAACATTTTTTGTTTGCGTTCTTTGTCGGGAAAGAGTATACTAGTATCGGCTTTATGTTATAGTTATTGAACAAGCAAATCGGTTTTAAAAATGATATATGCCGTTTTGATTGGCCAATAACTGTTTTAACACATGACGCAATATCATCAATTTACATGAACGTTTTCGAAATATGCGGACGATATTCCGCTATCCACGGCTCTTAAGAAAGTTCGCTTGTAGGGTAAAGAAAGGGGGATATATGCCTTTATGTAGTAAATGGTTTGTAACTTTTAAATTATTAACTTTTTTGATATTCAGACTTCTCCCTAAATTGTTACATTAAATGGAGTATTGCGATTTAATGGCAGATTTTTTTTTTATCGTTTCTGTTAAATTTATCCACAACTTTTAAATAAATTCGTGACGATTTAGAACTTAACATATTGTGTAGAATCTGTTTGTTGAAAACCATGTGTTGCCCTCTAGATGTCCTGAGGTTGTTTTTGTCGTTTGATTGCTGTCAAATTGACATGTAACCCTCATGTCCTACAGATTGAGTTCCGTTTGATGTACTTTTAAATCGGTTTATGACAAATCATAACTGAAAGGGTTATTGAGTATATATTAATTGCTTTCTCTCCCTCAAGAATATGCTTAGAGGAATGTGAACCGAGGAGAAATGTACCTAAATTTATAGTGCAAAGTAAAAAAAGTTTCACTTTTTAGTCTTTAACTTCCCCCTCTCCCCCACAAGTTCTCTACTATATTAATTTTGAAGACATGTCGCATGTAAAAGTAGTCTGATTGATCTGCAGCTTACTTTTTCCCATTTTGGCACATATTTAAATATGAACCTCATTAAATTCGATCCAAAAATAGTCACTAAAAGGAATAAATATTTAAAATGTCGTAATAAATTCCATTGAACACAAAACTAATCCAAACAAGATTTCAAAAATACATTTCTTCTTTGGCAGAAATTCCAAAAAAAAATGTTATCTTGTTTAACTTTGAAACACTGATTTAAGATTTACATTGTACACAAAATAAGATCATGATTGTCACATTGACTGATTGTGTCTGTTTGGGTTGCTTGCCCAATGTGTCAATATTACGGAACTATAAACAACTGTCATACAAGTGGGAGGTTTGATGGACTCACTATTTGTTTTAAATTTAACTAGGAGTTCAGTATTTTTGTTAATACTTTTTATTGATAGACAGAGGTGTACCAGTATGATTCAGTATGCTCCAAAGGGAAAAAAACATACCAACATTTATAATTATTTTTAAATTTTTAAAAGCTTCATACAGTTTCAAGTCACATTCGTGTTGATTTGCGCAATGTTTTCTGTTCTTACATACATGCAGCCACTATTTGATTGAGTTTATGTCCATGTCTTAGAAAATAAAGGTTACATATGAATAGTACAGTTTTCTAGTTGAGTACAATTTTAAGCAATATTTAACCTACTATGACCTATATTTTATTCAGAAAGCTATAGCATTATAAATTTAGAAAATATTCTGAAACCCTTAGTAATAGCATTTATGAAAAAATACTACACTATTAATTATCGTTTAATAATTGATTCAAATTTTCATCAAACTTTCATACAACGAATTGGAAATTTGATCACCTAAGTTACAAGGTAATGGTCCTACAGAAGTTGGTCAGTTTCCCAGAAATAGTTTTTGAACTCTATTTGGCCTTTCTTACTTTTTTTTATTCGAGCGTCACTGATGAGTCTTTTGAAGTCTGGGG